TAAAAAAAAAAAAAAAATGCAGAGTCGTGGAGGATAAGAGCTCAGGCTTGGGACTCAAGTAGACATGGGATCCTATGCCAGTTTGCTATTTACCAGCTGTGGGCCCTTGAGAAATTTACTTAACCCCTCTGTGACTCAATTTCCTCATCTGTAAAATTCAAAGAACATTAGTTCTTAACTTACTAGATATTCCTGAGGCTCAAGTGAGAAAATCCTAGCAAAGGATTTATAACATTTCCAGATACATAGTAAGGACTCAACATATGATAGTAATATATAATATTAGACTAAAGTTCCAACTCTTTACATCATTTATATGTACAGTTGCATCTGGTGGGGGTTTACCCTTCCAATTCCTCACCACTCCCCCATCTACCCTATCTTAGAGCCATTAGACATTTCATTTCCTTGTATATATGAGAAGATAGGATGTTCTTTCTCAGTTCTCACCTCTCAGTGTTCAAACTTTCTTTCTACCTGAACACCTGCTGTTTGTCCAATACCAAACAGGCTTCTGGCTCAGGGAGTTTGCACTGGTTAGTCCATCTGCTGGGAGGATCTTTCCTAGACCTTCAAATGGCCCATTCCCTCTCTCTGCTCATGTCTCTGCCCAAATGTTATTTCTTTAGTGCAGCCTTCCATGATCACCATACCAAAAACACCAAACTGGTTTTCCTGTAATTCCCCCTTCACACTGGTTAGTTGTCCTATATGGCCCTTATCCCTGCATGGCATTATATCACCAATTTCTTTATTACTTACTTGTTATCTCTGTTACAACATAAGCTTTTCAAAGCAAGAATTTTGTCTTCTTTCTTGTTGTATTTCTAACACTTATAATGTCCCTAACTCATGAAAGACATTTAATAAATGTTTTTGGAATGAATGAATAAATGTGAGATCTTGGTGCTTCCCTCATAAGATTTACTGATGAAGCTATACCAAGATGCAGATAAGAAACAGATATTATTTTAGAGACCTCAGATGACCTCCTAGAATCACATACACTACCACTGACACACAGTTCACTTTATCACATCTGTTCCATTAAGGTGAGAGTAAGAGATTCCAGATGGATACAATATCAGTAACAGCAGAGG